CTCTCATTAAGTGAGATCCAATGCTCCATTTTTAGGAGACTCTTCCTGTGTGACTGAACTTCTTTTTTAAGCCTTTTTTCTTCAGTTGTCTCTTTTGGACTTATTACTTTACGTATCTATTTAAACGTTGTTCAAGATTTCTGTAACACAAATCTTGGTATGTACATATTGTATAAGTTAACTGTTTATTTAAACTATAAAGTTAAAGGGCTGTGCTTCCGTGAGTTAATGGTAAAAGGTCTAAAGTATTGTAATTTTGTAAATATTGTCGATTTTATAAGCCGTATAAGATAAGTGGAATATTTATACTTTTCAAGGTCGATTTACAGGTAAAAGATAGATTGTAAACTTGCCGCAAATAGCACAAAAAATTTTATCATTTTATCGTCTATTTATAAGATTATTTGCGGCTGGTTTATAATTAATAAATTGACTTTACTGTAAATAGTAATAATTATTTGGATCAGCGCCATCTAGCGGTTTTTATTTTTTGGCCAAAAGTGGCTCCTAAAATTCTGAATCAGAGCAATCAAGATTAGAGCCATTTAGTCAACTATAAACCAACCGCAACTCATCAAACTCATGACGAAGCTATAAAATAAAAAAATAACGATACATGTGTTTTTGGCGGCAAGCTAACAATCTATCTTATGCTCGAAAATTTATCTTCAAAAGTAAAAACACATAGGAGGTCAATTTCTTGGTAGAAAATAGATTGTTATCTTATCGACAACTTATCGACAACTTAAACATGACGCAGGATATCGTAAGACATAATTAAGTTGTCGATAAGTTGTCGGAGAGCGTTACTGGAACACACCCTATATATGCATGCACATAGCATATACATGCGTTTTCATGCAGATGTCGTGACCGGGCTAACGGCTTCCGTAGAAAAACGTGGATTCTGGAATCTGGATTGTGAAAACATAATACAAAAACACAACCAACACAAGTGTAAGTTCTTGGAAAAAAATTTGTAACGTTAAATACGAGTGTTGTGCGGATTGTTTAGTTTACAGTTTATGTACTTACCATGGTAATACTTTCCATAGCAGTAGGCATAGGTATAAAGTATTGACACGTGCGACGTGCACGAGGAAAAAACGAAAACTACTATTATATATATAAGTATTAAGTATGTTTACCAAGCGCCGGTACGGAAAAAGAAAATTTTGGAGTAAAATTCATACTGTTTTATAAGTATACCTATACACGAGGCTTGTGGAATGTGGACCTTGTGGTTGCAAGTTTTGTTATTGTCTGTCATGTGCGGGCACGGGCAGGTCCAGAGAGATTTTGTTTGCTGCTTGTTAAAACCTGTGCTCTCTACTTCAATAACTAATCGAGTGCCATAGGATGGTGTAATTAGTGTATATATTTGCCAAAAAAAAAAAAGACTAAAGGGTTGATTCCTTTTGAAGATAAGATAATGGAAATGCTGAATGAGTTTTGTCTCAGTGACGGCCTCAATTTTCCCTCTAATGTAAGTAATTAAGGTTATACACGCTCTGTTTTCAAAAGCCGGCTGTAAGGTTAATATACAGGAACAGGCAGTGATATTTGTTTGGGAAATACTTATTTAATGTGTAAGATGGATGTGAAAAATTTGTTACTTAAAAACTTGAGTACTCATTATAGTTAATGTCAGTTGCAGGAGCCACAGACTAAGCAGAACTACAAGCCGCCTGTATGGACGTTGATGAAGGAAAAAATTCTAAAAACCAAGTAAGTCGCGGTTTTTTTTATTACAAGACAGAGTTTTAGACCAGTTCATATTAAGTGTAAATTTTTCCTTTTCTATTTTAATCCTTCCAAATTTTTTTTATTTTTAGTGAGTTAATTTTAGAGTCGACAAACATTTCTAATCTGAACGAACAGTTAAAAAAAGAAATATCTACTTTAAAAAGTGAAAATCAAGAGACAAAGAAAAAGTATAACATTCAGTTGGAAAAGACTACACAACTTGAATTAGTTAGTGTTTTGTAATTTTTTTATAATTTTTTTTTATTCATCTACTGTCAATAAGAATGTTGTTTTTCACTGTTGTAGAATAAAGAGCAGTATGAAAAAACACTTAAAGAGTACAAAGCCACAATAGAGAAACAACAGACTAAGTTGAATGAAAATGATAAGCACATAGTTCAGTTAAAATGCAAAATTAAGAATGAGGAAGGTAAGTTTCTAGTGTTTGATGTAAATTATATTTCAATTATGTTAACAAAATTTTTATAAATTATAAACTTTCGTAAACAAATTACAATAGCTTTTCTCCCAAATGCATGCTGAACAGATAACTAACAATCATTTTATGATTTCATAAACAGACAAAAATAGAAACTTGCAACATATTATTGATAGCCCTAAATCCAAGGTTACTAAAAAGAAGAGCAAACCCACAAAAAATCAAGAATGTCAAACTATCGGTAAGTGATTTGCCCATGTTCTAAAAAACTTTGTATAATTAAATTTTTTTTTTTTTATCAGGTGGTAAAAAGCAAGATTCTTCAGTTAACACAGAACCCATTGAATTGTGTCCAGTAAAGCCACAAACGAAAGATTTTTCCGGAAGTGTGAATTTTCTAAAATGTTCCCCCAAAAAGCCACAAATGAAGACTGCTTCAATAAATACTAATCCTGCACACATTAGTTCTGTAAAACCACTAGTTAAAGATTTTACAGCAAACGTCAATTTCACATCACGTGTGCCTCAAAAACCATTAATGGTAGATAAAAATGAATGTACTGATGAGTGTAAAACAATCAGTCAAGAACCATTTCCAACTTTTTGTTCCAAATGTAAATCTCACATTAGTCCTGCACCAGTTGATCAAATTCTCAAAATCATGACCACACCACCACCAGTACCGATAACTTCTGTGCAGTCGCCACCAAGTTCACCAAGTAAGTTTAATAAAAGTTTCTTGTACAAAAATGAAATATTTTTTTATAAACACATTTCAATTTGATGCAGAATTCCGTGTACCAAAAATAAAACCAGTTAATATGCAACATGAAAGTAAAAAGAACGTTGAAAAGATACCATTTTTACCTGTAAATAATCTATATGCTAGTCATATGAAAAAAGTGGAAAAACAAGAATGTTCTGCAATCACAGAAGTAGAAATATTGACGAAGAAAATGGTCAAGTTAGAAAAGAGTTTAAAAAAAATGAAAAGGAAACGTAGGTCAGATGATTCTTCAAATCAGAATTGTTGTTCAAAAAATATTCAGTTTGTTGTACAGTACCCTGATCAACAAAATCGTAAGAAATCGAAAGATCAGAAACTTAAACCACTCAAAAGATTAAACCAGAAAGTTATTCGTAGTAAGAAAAATGATCGTTTGGTGGCAAACAAGTGGCAAGTTGAAAGCTGCTCCGAGCCTAAAAGATTAAAAGTACTTCATCCTAAAAATAAAATGCCTTCAATAAAGAAATTAACTAGTCAAAATAGGATTGCGCGTTTATTTGAATCTCCAGCACATACTCCTTGTGTAAATAATAGTAGTATCCTTTATTCACCGGAAGAGTATTCATCTTCATCAAACCTGGTATCATTTTTATTATTTTCTAATGTCTTCTAATGTCATTAATTTGCTTTTATCTTTTTTTTTTTCAGTCCTCCCCTTCACTAGATAATGAAGACGAAAGCAATAACTCGTTAGGAAAATCTTTGAATGGTATAGAAATAAGTAATTCTGTATTATCTGAGACTGAAGTTCTTACACCTCCAACTAGTCAGATATCGCTGTACAAATATACTTATCCAAATAATATAGAAAAAGAAGTAGATTTTGAAAAAAACGTTATACCTGAAGAAAAAAGTTATAGTTGTGAAAGTGAAGATTTTTCGAGTAAAGAGTATAGTGAAAAAAGTGAGCAGCAAGAGTCTACGAATGGGCAAAGTATTGGTGAAAGTAATTCAATCATTATGCTACCTAGTAAACAAAATAATTCCATCACTAATTTAGTCAAACAAAACAGTGTAGAAAATAAGGGAGTTGAAGATTCGAACAAAGACAGTACTTCGTTAGATGTGCCACCTGATTTAAAAAAAATAAATTATTTAGATGATAAAAATATTTACAAAAATAATATACATAAACAGAATGCTACAGAAAAGTATGTGATCAATGAAAAAGCTAAGGAAGATAGTTTTTCTGATATTCTATCTTACCCGATAATATTCGAGAACTCTGAAGTGATTAACAAAAACCTTGATGTTCATAATGTAGAAATCAAAGAAAAAAATGCATTAATCAAAAAAAGTTCATCAGTTATAGTAAACGATACCGTGTCTCCGAATACAAATGAAGTAGTTCATAGTGTACAAAATGAGACAATAGAGGATATTCAAATGGATGAAGACACAAATGATAATACTTGTTCTGGTAAAAAAATTGTTGATGTTAAAATTTTGCCTCATCAAGTCTTTAATCCATCACCAAGTTGTAAAGTAAATCATGAAGTGCCTCAAAATATAAATGAATTAGTGAGCAGTGAACAAAATGATACATTAAATAAGACAACGGAGGATATTCAAATGAATGAACACACCAATAACTACACTTCTATGGATGAGAAAATAATCGGCCCTGAAATTCTGCCTCAAGAAGTCATACATTCATTATCAGGATGTGAAGTAAAAGATAAACTATCTCAAGATACAAAAGACTTGTTGAACAATGACCCAAAACATGAATTAGAAGACGAGTCAACGGCCACTATTCCGGAAAAAGAATCCACAAATCCTGTTGCATGTGTAGATAAACAAATAATAGATTCTGAACTGTTACCTAAACAAGCTATACATACATTATCTGTGTGTAAAGTGAACGATTCAATGCCTCAAAGTACAAAAGATTTAGTGAAAAATATTCTAAATGACATATTAAAAAATGAGTTAACAGAATACATTTCAACGAAAAATCTTGAAAGTGATACGTGTGTAGATAACGAAATTATTGATTCTAAACTTTTGTCGGAAGAAACGGCACCTACATCACCTGTGCACAAAGTAAATGATACAGCATCTGAAAGTACAAGAGATTTAGGGAACAACTTTCTCAATGATGCATTACAAAATGAGTCGATAGAACATATTCCCGCAAATGAGGCCACTAATGATGTTACTAGTGTAGATAACCAAATAATTGACCCTGCAATTTCATCAGAAGAAGCTGTTCATGCATCACCTTTTAGTAACGTACCTGATGTAGTATCACAAAATGATAAAAATGGTGAATTAAACAATGAGTTGATAAAAGATTCATTTAATGAAAATACCTATGATGATGGTTGTTTGAATAAAAAAGCTGATGCTAAAATTTTGCTGAAAGAAACTGTAGGTGGATTACCTGTCGATGAAGTTGATAATACGATCTCTCAAAATACAGATGATATAGAGCACGTTGTTCCAAATGTTCAGTTAAACAATGAGTTAATAGAGAATATTAAAACGAACGAGCACGCAAACGACAATAATATTGTAGATGAACAAGTCGATGCTACAATTTTGCCAGAAGAAGCTGTACATGCTGTATTACCTGTATTAAGTAATACGAGTCTCAGCCAGTCTTTAGAAGATATTAAAAGTAATGACAGCGTGTTGCCAAGTACTCCAATTAGTTCGGACATTCCCATAACACCGAAAAAGGCATTTACTACACCTGAATGCAGTAAATCTTTTCAACCTGAAACTTTATTAACGGAAAATGGTATTGCAAAAAATAAAAAAGATGTTTCAACAGAGGATACTGATATTTCTAGATCTATAGGAGATAATTTGTGTTTGACACAATCCAAAAAGAGTCCTAATAACGAAGAAGACATCTGTGCGCCTGAAAAATCAACTGCAGCTAGGATTTCACGGTACCCATCCAAAAAAATTTCTAATACGCCCAGAATTCCTTACCTAATGCCTGAACCTAGAACAAGAGTGCGTATCAGAGGCAAGAAAATAGAGATTACAAAACCTGAAAATATAGACTGGGACGGTGATTTTTCTCAACATTTGGGCACCAGTGAATTTTCTCTAATTAACAATCAACAAAGTTGTAAACTTAAGAATATATCTCGAAATAAATCTAATCTTGAAGTTTTTGTTATACCGGAAAATGCATTTGATAAGAGCTTGATACAAGATAAAATTAAAATAAAAATGAAACCTGTTTCAAAACAAAATGAAAGCGTAAATGAAAATTCTGGAAACACAGTAGATAACTCATCAGCACTTACGGAAACACCTAGAGATGATGAAGAGGTCATGAAAGAAAACGACTTGAGCTTTGAAGAACTAGATTTCAAGATCCACTCGTTAACAATGGCCACGATTAAAGTTGAAGAACGTGATTCAATGACACCCTATCCTTGGAATGATATGGGGGACAATAATTTTGTTAATGATGAAGAAAGTCATTTAATTCCAATAGAAACTAGTCACCCGGAAAAAATGGTAGAAAAAAGTATATGTGAAGTCGAAGCAAGCAGTCCCGTTAAAGAAAATGAAAAAGTTTCTGCAGTATTGACACCTTCTGACATAAGTAACACCAATTTATATTTAGTTGAAGACGAAGATTCTCCAGAAAAAGAATTTGACGAAACACCTGAATCTGATTCAACAAAATTTAGTTTACCCAAAGAAATGAAAGCAGAGCAAGTTGATGAAATATCAGAGGAATCATCTGAGTCAAGAATATCATCATCATCATCATCGGGAATTAAACGTAAAAATCCTAGTAAGGCAGTGCAGCAAGATGAATCATCTGATGAGATATCATGCAAAGGACCAGTGAAAAGAGGACGCAAGAAAATCTCCGAAGGTGTTGCATCGAAACCAAAAACTACGTCCAAAATGAAGTTGCTAGCGAAAATCAAAAGGTTGAAGAAAACTAGCAAGGCGCCACCAAACGCTCCAAACATCAGATCCGAGCCTTTGTTGATGAAAATCAAAACCGAGCCAGCTGAACCTATCACCGATCCCGACGAAATCAGCAACGAAACTGATATTTCTCACAAATCGCCCAAGTCAAGGAAAAAATCAAACAGTAGTGCTGAGTCCGCATTAACAAGTCAGTTGGATGATAGTGTGTCGGAAATTGTTCCTGCAAAGAAACAACGAATTGCACACAGGCCGAAAAATCACAATGCAGGATCTCAACCCATCGAACCCAAGAATCGATGGAGCAAGAAAATTACATCATCTAAAAATACTAAAGACACGTCTTCAGAAGAAGCAAATGAGGTCGATAAGTTTTCTACACTGTTGGAAGATTACGAAAAGACTTGCAAGGAAAGAGCTGAATTATCGCGTTTACAAAAGCAAAGAAATTCCATCAACCCGTTCAATACTCGTAGTTGTGCCCATTCATTTAAGAGTGGTTCAAATTCTGTATCACCTCCAAGCAATAGTTCGTCAATAGGTACAAACAACATAAAGATAGAACCTAGCTCCGACGAAAATTTCAATGACAATATGAATGTAATGGATTTTTCTGCCAACGATTCTGCTGTTAGGAATATTTCATCTGTGAGTAACACTATTCAATCTCCTGAATCTAATAACCAATCCACCATTCAAAGCGCAAATGATATCTCAACGCCTACTTCTCAAAGTAAGTACAATTAAGAAAAAATATAATGTCAATTTAAATTGAATCTGTTGCCTAATGAACTCATTAATTCAGGGACCCCTTTGGTGACTCCTTTAAGAGGATTGAGGCGCCGTCAAGAAGTTACCCCTTTGAAAACCTTGAATCTTAATGCTAAAAAATCCACAAAAAATTTTACCAAACAGTTGAAGAATCGAAACAACGTACCATATATCATAGATGAAACCAACTCCTCTTTAGGTGACACGAGTATAGTATCGGTTTTAAATGAAACAGTTTTTGTTTCAAAAAACTTTTCACCGTGGTCTCGCAAGCAACTTGATAGCGCTAAAAAAAGTGGTGAGTATTTACTTGTGTGTTCATTCAAACCTATCGTCCAAAAATTTTTAGCTGATGTTAGCTCGTATCGATTGGAGCTAACTGGTGCTAACATGAACGTCTGTATTTATGGTCACAGAACTCTAAAAGCTTCTCTGATCAGCTCGAAACGACACTGGTCCACAAACTTAACATATGTAGTTATATATATTCACACACGTTTCTGGAAAATAATTTCAAAAGAGTAGAAATGGAGTCTAAATTTTTGTTAGTGCTTTATCATTGCCTAACTTGATGAATTGTCGTTTCCAAAGCATTTTTTAAAAACTGTAATCCTTTTACTGAGAAAATTTTTTTCCAGAAAAATTTATTTATGAACAACTTACGACTCTGATGGAAACAAATCCATGGACAATAGAAACTACGGAGCAAGTATTAAACCAACTTACCGGCTCTAAAGACTCTAGAACACTTGCATTGTACATTGTTGAATATGCAACAAAAAAAATTGACGACTTTGACGAAGACTTTATCAGAGAGTTTACACCACCGGCTCTGCTTATGAAAATGTCAGAGCAAAAAATTGTTGTTTTAGTATGTAAAATCGACAAGAAGGATCCAGGATTTGTTGATGAAATATTGCAGGGAATCCAGTTCAAACTATTTAATCGTGACAAATTTTATATTTCTGTATGAGCTATGGAAAATTGTTTAAATTAAAAAATATATATATATATATATTCAACTTCTCATGACAAACTAATATTTATCCATTATCATTTTAGGATGATGTATCCAAGCGGCTCTTTCGTATTTTAATTGCATTAAACAAAATCAGGCAGAATAGAGAAAGCGTTAGGATCGCAATTTGTGACGCCATTTATTGCTTAAATTTGCTAGCCCTGGATCTTATTGATACTGCACTGTCGTCATGGTCTGAATTGATTCCCGCATATAGCACCGAAAACGGTAATCTTTTGTAAAACAGGGTTTCCCCCTAACCATAAGATGTAATAGTCAAGGTTATCATTTTTAATGTATTATTTATTTTTTAGATATCATAACAAAAACCATAGTGCACATAATAATGACCTATAAGCCAAATAAATACTATCCTATGCTCAAAAGAGTGCGACAATGGCTCACCACTGATCAACATGGCTATCCAAAAGATGGCTATCAGGATGAGAACTTAATAACAGAACTGCTCACAGGCCTTAAAAGTAAGAGAATTTATTGATTTTACTAAAATATTCTTGTTATTTTATATTGAATTTTATTTTAATGAAATTCCTCCAACAGACAATACACAAGGTTTTCACACGGCAGTACTTTTAATATGCAAAATGAGGGATGAGACAAATTTTTTGGATAAGATTGTAAATGGAATAAAAAATATTTTATTAAGTCAATCTGATCGTTCCTCGACTTACAGAGAACTAACCTTACTCGGTATTGTTCTTGTGCAAGTTAAACCATACAATGTTCGTTTTTCAAATTACAATATATAAGCTCTCTTTGTTATTCAGGTAATATTTGCCGATCTTTGAATCCTGAAAATATATCAGATATTGTTTCTAAAACCATTGATCAACTTTGCGATGTTTTATCAAACAATGACGGTAATTATTATTATTATTTTTTTTTTTTCAATTATTTATGAAAAAGAATGTGTTGCATAAACTCTGTATTCCCACAGGATCCGATGATTTAAAAGATGGCATAGTATCTTGCCTATCAAGTATTACTAAGTTTAAGTATGAAAAGATTGCCTGGACTCTGATGACGTGGCCATCTAAAAAGGAACTTCGACCCGATATGAGAACCAAGTTAATCGCGTTCTTTAACGAGCATGATTTCAATTGGTGGTGGAATTTTGTAAAAAAGAAATTCCCTTTAGCATTAAAAGTTTAAGTATGATTAGATAGAGTAATCGATGTTAATAAAACTTGAAAAAGTTTATTTTCTTTATGTACATGATCCAAACTGTTTTTATAAATAAAAAGGTAAATTAAAAAAATAAAAACAGCGTTTTTTTTATACTTCAGTAATTATGCTATTGAATGTTTTTGGAGAACAAGAGTACAGGTGTCTGTTTCTTCTCAATTGGTAATGATGATGATGATGAAGAAAATATAGAATGGCGATGATAGTAATATAATATTCAACATATTTGTAAGCTTCCATAGGCAGAGCACGCTAACGTTACTAATACATATACATAATGCCTAATCGCTTTTGTATACTCGATTATCTCGTCATCTTCGTTGTTCTCTTTATCAATTTTATGTTTCCAACACTCATTCTTCTTTCTCTCTTTTTTAAAAATAACAATCTCAAAAATAATAACGTCTGGTTCCAACATTGCTGGATCAGTGATTTTCTATAAAACATGTTTTTTTAGGAGTTCACTTGTATAACTATGGAAATAATTGAAATGTACCATGATAGATGAGGCATAGTAACTCTGCAATTTAACTATTCAATAATTTTTATTTTAAAAACTTTTCTTGCCAGTTTCTTTATTTTTCAAGCAACGATTTCTTTGGTACTTTAACAACAGAGTACTGCACAAGCACGTAAAAAATCACGTGGAAACAAACTTTTTACAAGAATAAAGTCAAATTTACCATTTTTATTTCATACAGCTGCCTATGCAGGTGTATTATTTTTTGAAAAAGTAAAATCCATTGACGATAATTCAAGGGTTGAAGCCAATTTTCAAATTTAACGGAAAACTGCAATACTGCATGCTTATTTTTCAAAATCTTTGAAGTCAACTGCGCCGGCTCCGTTGATGGGACTTTCTATTTCGCTAATTCACTACATGTATGGTGTGTGCAGTTGTCTGATGTCACCACTTTGAACCACTATCTTAATAAATTGATCAACTATTACACGTAAATTGAATATCATGGCGTTCTCTATCATTTTTGTGTAAGTAGGTACATTTTTGTAATTTTTTGCTTTACGACTTTAAATTTTTTCTTCTCGTTGAGCGCCTACTGCAAATGCGAAAACGTATGCGAAAGTTTGTATGTTTTTAACTTGAATTAACGTTCTAAATGTTGCAGTTGTTTTTGGACTGAAAAAAAATGTCAAATTTAACATTGATGAAGTTAGAATGGAGGCTCACACCTTACTGTAGAAATTGAAATGATGTAACTTGTATTCAATTCTTATAGGTACTACTAAGTTATTAGTGCAATGTTTTACAACACTTGAGTAATATATATAACTATTTCTCCAGTTCAAAAAGCAATGGATCTTAAATCAGATGATACAATCGTAGAAAAGTAAATCAATTTCGATAGTTTTTAGTTTCGGTGCGACTCACTTGAATATTTTTTTTTTACAAATGCAGCTTGAAATACTTAAAAGTTTATTTTTCAATTTTCGTTTGGATATTTTATTGCTTGAATACTTACGAAACATTTACGATGGATAAAATTGATATCGATTCTTAGCAGCAGTGTACTTAGTTATATTTTTGTTTATTTTCATGAGAATTTCTGAAAAAGGTGCAAGCCTCCTTAAGGTTGGAGAAAAAATGCTGCTTTAAATTTTATTGTATACGTCTCCCAGTTTAGTAATTGTTTTTTCAATCCTCACATATTACTGGTCTAGTGACGTGGGAGCAACTCTGGCACAAGAGAAGCAAAAAAGGTCAAGATAGCGCTACTATTCACTTTTATTAAAAGTCTTGTCTAAGTTTTCATACCGATTTGATTTATACGTATTTCAAGGTTTATAATTCAATTTTTTTCTAAAAAACTTTTTGTAAAGATTTCTCGTTAACTATTTTATTTACTGTATTTATCAAGGGGCGTGTGTAGCTTCATAACTATATTGGACGTGTATGCAACACCTTTCAAGTTGTCGGCACATTAACAGGTTTTGAATTGAAGTTTTCTTAAAAGATGCACATTTGAAATTGCGACTTGTTAAGAACTATGTGTGTATAAGGAATAAATGTACACGAATCAACAGCTGCTTATAAGATAGTCTTCTTTCACTTTAATAGTCATTTCGGGTCTTATTATATTTCGATGATTATTTTCATTATTATTATTATTATTCTTCTTTAACTTCAGCGAAAATATAAATTCCATAATAAGAAATTTAATACAATAGTTTAAAGGCACTCGATCCCCTTTATCAAATGCGCCTTGCATCTTCATTAATTTTTTGTGTGGCTTTTTTCTACATTGTACAAGCACGTCCTTACCGAAGAAGAGAACGCGCTTATACGGTCACTAATAATAATAATTAATTGTACATCTATAATTATTGATCAATGACAGTATAATAAATTAGGAACCACGTACAATATAATTTAGGGTTTTAATTTTTGTTAAATTAATTTAGAGTTATTCTTAACTTCGGTTTAACTAACGACTATTTATAAATTATACGATACAATCGGGCTGATGTTTTCGAATATTTATACAAGATCACTTTTTTTTTCAATACAAATAACTTTACACGACAGCATTGATACAACTTACGAATAATTAAAATCCAATCAAACTTGACTCGTAGATCAAGGATTGCAACAAAAATGAATGAAAGCCAAAGAGCAAGAGGAAAGGAAAAAAGAGAGATAGAAACCATGTGAAAAAACAAAACGAAACCAGAACGTAGTGCCGCGCAGCAGAACGTCTGGAAGAACCGAGTGCACCGATTTGTTAATATCTACAAATGTACAAAATACTTCGCGTAAAGAACGGTTTCGCATGTTTCTCTCCTCACCTTATCCTCTCGCCGTAACATTATCAAAAACAATTTTTTTTTTNTCATCGTCGAGCTCTTTATTCGCTGCGCTTTCGATGACGATTACGACAAAGAAAAAAAAATAAAATACATAATTCCAGAGCTACGTAATTAGCGGCAGCCTTATTTGCTCTTGTGTGCTTCTTTTACTTTCGTTTCAATATGTATATATTTTATCCTTTGTTTCGCTAATACATGTACATATGTGTGTATTTATGTTACTTTTGTAAATATTTTGTATACTTTATATATATTTAAATATATATATATAATGTAATAACTTACTATTTACAAGTGACAAAAAAGAGGCCTGCCTCGCCGCTACAAAACTCACAGTCGATCTCTCACCAAATTACATGTTTGTGATTTTTACTTAAACACTAGTGTTTAGTTAGGCGATTTTTATTTTAATTACACATGTAAATAATGTGTACATGAAACGTGTAAGTGTGTATTTGCATGTGAACGTATGAAAGACTAGGCCCCGATTTTTCAATAAAAAATATAAAATTCTGTCACTTTTTCGGAGACAGCATAATCAATATACATACTACTATATCTCACGTACAACAAATGTATCTCAAAACCAATCAAATTACACATACGTTATATACTGCTAGTCCAACCTCGTCTTTTTTTTTTTTTTTTTTTTTTTCGAGCTTCCGATGCAGTATACACAACACATATACTCCCGGAAAATTGAGAAGAGTAAGCTATGTTTGAAACAACAAAATTAATATTAGCTATAAATGAGCACTTAGCCTTATCGTACTCTTATAATTTTTTTCTTTTTTGAATTTTTTATTACACATGTATATGAATATAGTCAATAGCAGAGAAATTATATTTCTTATAACTTATAACTTTAGAGTAGGAAAGCCGACTAGAAAAGAAAAAAAAAAAAAAAAAAAAAAAAAAAAAAAAAAAAAAAAAAAAA